ACTCAACTACCCAGCAATGCCACACAGTATGTCAGTGACATCTTCACTTCCTTTCCTTGCAGATTTGGGGGGGGGGGGGGTTGCAGTTGCAGGGCAATACCTGGTGTAATAGAATGCCATGCAACAGCCAGAGAGGGATCCTAAGTGCTAGTTAGTAAAAGGAGCAGTCTAGATGTAGCTGGTGGGCTCTTGCACAATGAACAGAGCCACAAATACTTGATGGATACTGGAAAAAACCTTTGATGCAGGCTTGAAGTGTTACTGAACCCAGGACCCTGCATTCACTATATCCGGTCTCCTCCTCGGACCCTGCATTCACTATATCTGGTCTCCCCGGACCCTGCATTCACTATATCTGGTCTCCCCGGACCCTGCATTCACTATATCCGGTCTCCCCAGACCCTGCATTAACTATATCCGGTCTTCCCAGGCCCCGCATTCACTATATCTGGTCTTCCCGGGCCCCGCATTCACTATATCCGGTCTGCCCGGGTCCCGCATTCACTATATCCGGTCTGCCCGGACCCCGCATTCACTATATCCGGTCTCCTCGGACCCCGCATTCACTATATCCGGTCTCCACGGACCCCGCATTCACTATATCCGGTCTTCCCGGACCCTGCATTCACTATATCCGGTCTCCCCGGACCCTGCATTCACTATATCCGCTCTCCCCGGACCCCGCATTCACTATATCCGGTCTTCCCGGGCCCCGCATTTACTATATCCGGTCTGCCCGGGTCCCGCATTCACTATATCCGGTCTGCCCGGACCCCGCATTCACTATATCCGGTCTCCTCGGACCCCGCATTCACTATATCCGGTCTCCACGGACCCTGCATTCACTATATCCGGTCTCCCCGGACCCTGCATTCACTCTATCCCGCTCTCCCCCGGACCCTGCATTCACTCTATTCGCTCTCCCCGGACCCTGCATTCACTAAATCCAGTCTCCCCAGACCCTGCATTCACTATATCCACTCTCCCCAGACCCTGCATTCACTATATCCGGTCTCTCCAGGCCCTGCGTTCACTATATCCGGTCTCCCCGGACCCTGCATTCACTATATCCACTCTCCCCGGACCCTGCATTCACTATATCCACTCTCCCCGGACCCTGCATTCACTATATCCGGTCTCCCCGGACCCTGCATTCACTATATCCGGTCTCCCCAGACCCTGCATTCACTATATCCGGTCTCCCAGGACACTACATTCACTATATCCGCTCTCCCCGGACCCTGCATTCACTATATCCGCTCTCCCCGGACCCTGCATTCACTATATCCGCTCTCCCCGGACCCTGCATTCACTATATCCGGTCTCCCCGGACCCTGCATTCACTATATCCGCTCTCCCCGGACCCTGCATTCACTATATCCGCTCTCCCCGGACCCTGCATTTACTATATCTGTTCTCCCCAGATCCTGCATTTACTATATCTGTTCTCCCCGGACCCTGCATTCACTATATCTGGTCTCCCCAGACCCTACATTCACTTTATCTGGTCTCCCCAGACCCTACATTCACTTTATCTGGTCTCCCCAGACCCTACATTCACTTTATCTGGTCTCCCACAGTACACACAACATGGATTGTCATTTGTTCCACAAATTCCTGTACAACAGTAAGTGAACTCTTTGTGGGATAAAGCTTTGAAGGGTGCCATGGCTAATGACGTTAATAAAGACTAAGCATTTTATAGATTGCAGCAGAGGGCAAAATTCCAGGCTGCCAGTGTCAGGCCTTTTGAGGCTACACCTGGGACAGCAGGGCTGCTCCTCATGTGTCTGGGACTTGACATATTGCACCACAAAGTGGGGAAAGCTCAGCTCATGGCACAAGGCAAGGGCTTGACAAAATCACAAATCTAACTTCTGGTAACAGAAGTTTAGGCATCCCCCTGGATTTTACAGATTCAGCTGTTTACGGCTGAGAGTCTGCTTGCCAACTTTCCACACTGGTGCACAGTGGAGAGGGCTGGAATGCTAAGTCCTGTCCAACATCAGGTCCACTTCTTCCTGAGCAGTGCAACTTCTTGATGGTTCTTGACTGTTGATGTATGCCACAATCATGGTATTGTCTGACTGTACCCTGATGGGAGATGCCAATGGTGGACCAATTTAAAGAGATCTAGCCAAATTACCAAAGTTCCAAGATGTTGATTGTCAACTTCCGCTCCTCTCACAGCCATGTTTGTTTTGTTTTTTGTTTTTAAATCCAGAGGTTCTCCAGACACTTCCCTAGCTCGGTCTCACATTCATTGTCAAAACCTCCAATTCTTTAGGATTTCCAAGTATCCAGTATCTGTGTGAAAATCCACCATTCCAGAGCTGCCCTGGTCTTGAGGGAGAGAAGCATGGGTTGATCCAAGGTCTTCTGAAATCTGTCCCATACCAGCAGCATACTGAGCTTCAGAGCTCTGGAGTGAAACAGAGCATAGGGAATTGCATTGAGGGCTAACCTCCTTTCCTAGCACTTTCATGCATGCGCTGATCAAGAAATTTTCCCAAATGACTTCAAGTACTCCACCTGGGCTCAGAGAGACAGGCGGTTCACCTGAAGGGGCTGTACCTTTGCCCGTGCTGCGTCAAATACAAAGGTTAAGTATTGCAGGCATTGTGTCGGATCCATGGACTTAAGGTTCAGCATCCAGCTGAACCTCTCCAGGACTTGTACCATCTGCTCCATATTTAATGTCAGCTTCTTAGCCACTTACACCCCAAGAAACTGGTCTTCACAAGACCCATTGATGATGTCTAAAAATCAAGATGTGTAGTGAGGAATCCTTGACATCCACTTATGAAAGGAATTCCCTATGGTGAAGCAAAGCAATCACTGACCGGGTGTACCTTAATCAACTCAAAACGTTGGAGGCCCAGAATAGGCTGGATGTCTCCATTTGGCTTGGGAAGTGTTAACAGGTTGGAATAGAAGCCGTGAGACCTATCCCATTCTAGGGACAGGTGTGAGGACCCCTTGGGACAGTTTTTCCAGGGCTTCAAAGAAAACCACTCTTAGTGGTTCCAAAGATAACCTTGAGCACATAAAGTGTGGAAATGGACAGAAGTGGATCTCCAGCTTGAAGCCTCTGGACACCACGCTGTGAAAAGGAACCTCTGACTCTCAGATTGGTTTCCGAGTCATCACCTTCTTAAATGAAGAGAGCGAATTCTTCCCTAGTCATTCTCTGGGTGCAGGCAGCCAAGGGTGGTCCAAACATGCATTTGTGCTCAAAGGACAGTCTCTCCATTTGGTTCTTGCACAGAAGTTCCACCCATCAACACTTAAAGCCCTAGGTTACTTCTCATGTGGATAGACACGGTGCCCATACGTGAAATTTGCCTTATAAAATTCTTTTCAAGGCTCTCAGAAAATCTTCCAGGGACTGCAAAATGGCAGGATCTTCTGTATCCGATTTGTTGTTTGTCACTGCTGTATGTTGCAGCAATGCAAACTGGGCAGTCTCTTGGCCGATTGGCCTTCGTGACCATCCCTGGATAAGGCCAACCTCTGCCCCATCAGGGGTAAGAACAGGCAAGGAGTAATGGGAACAGATATCTATTTAAAAAAAAAAAAAAAAAAAAAAAGTCTTCACAGGGACCCAGGGAAGCACGTCCGTCACTTTCAGACACTAGCACAAAACGTAGGTCTTCAATTAGTTGGAAGGGGTTATACCTGGATGGGGATTCCTTCCATTTTTGGCCAGTATCCATTCACCTGAATATGGCAGCATAGTCCAAGTAGTGATGACTGTTTTAGTCGTCCGATGTAAAAATTAGCCACTTGGCACCCACCTGCAGTAGTGTTACTGCGAGCGAGCGGCACAGGCAGGGCAGTCAGCGTAACCAAGTCGCCCCTGGCTTCCAGGTTTTGGGGAGCTCATGTTGCCCGCCAACCCGTGCCATGATTGGACACAGCATGAGTTAGTCAACAAGTTTTAGCCAATGATTTGGGATGAAGCCTGCTGATCGATTGTATCCAATTACAGAACAGAATTCCATGTTTACAAATACACAGGATTCTTTACAGAGCAGCGATGTGGCTGGTTTTTTTTCTTCTGGCTTTGCAGGGAGAAAAACAGCCACATCTAAGCATAAGCAGCACATATTACACTTGTTAGACACACATTTTACCCTTTGATGTTAACCCCTTCCCAGCCAGTGTCATTAATACAGTGTACAATATTATATCTCATCACTGTGTCAGTTTCACTAGTGACATCAGTATCCCTCCCACAGAGTATCTGTTAGCGCCTGATTGCCTGCCACACTATTACAGTCCTACTATAAAGTCACTGATCATCGCCATTACCAGTATAGCTTCTATAGCTGCAGAAATTCCAGTATACACATACACCATAGTTTGTAGAAGTATAAAAAAAACTCACACACACCTATTAATATACACTTATTGGAATTTTTTTTAACCAGACATAATACATTTTGTCCTAAGTTTATGAAGAAATTACATTTTTTTATTGGAGAGATTTTATAACAAAGTAGATTTTTTTTTTTTTAATTTTTGATCCTCTGATTTATATAACAAACAATAACCCCAGCAGTGATCAAATACCACAAAGAAATCTCTATTTGTGCGAAAAAATATGTAATTTGAGTACAGTTTTGCATGACTGCGCACTTGCCAGTCATAAATTAGTGCAGTGCTGAATAGCAAAAAAGTGCCCAGGTCATGAAAGGCCAGAAATTAGAGTTTTGAGAAACACTTAACACTAGCCAACCAATAAAAATCGAGAGAAATCTCAGAACTGATAGTCTTGGCAATAAAAGGAAACTTCATCCATTTAAATTACATTTTATTCAGTGATGTCTCAAGCTGGTCACATGCCAAAAAAAATAAACAAACGGATGTTCCTGGCTGCCGAAAAGGGGGCCGAGACATTCAATGTTATCTGGAAGATAACCATTTCTTCAAGTTTCTCCTAAAAGACGAGATCTCCTCGATTCTTCCAAAGAAAGCCTCCCCGAATTGGATGGAGATTAGAAACGGAGCCAGTACATAGCGCTGCGGATACGGTTGTAGTCCGGAAGTTGCTCTACTGGACCTAATAATGAAAAGATTTACAAATTGGATTAGTATTAGTAGAATGTTACTGGAAATAGCCTGTGTTGATTTCAGGTTATTAACACATTTGTAGCCTTTTTTATTTTTTTTTTTTAGTTTTAGACAAAGTGGATGTAAAAGAGAATTTCCTACATGTTCTTATGCTGCATGCCTTCGCTGGCAAGGAAGACCCTCTCTATTGTGAGCATTATTGCAGAGAAGAGAACAGGAAATCCCAAATGTGACAGTCGTCATAACAGGTATGAGGGTAAATCTTCCTTTGAGGATGCCTGTGTGACTTTGGATGGGGGGCCCATGGAACACAGCCCCCTTTGGAGAGGTGGGGAGACCCCTGTCTCAGCTCCCCATATCCCTATTATGTGTAAGTCACCCTGTGTCTGTTAGGGGTACAGGGTGAAATGTCCTGCTATTGTGTAGACATGTATAGGTGGGGTGTGAGGGGTTGTTCATTGTTTACTGCCATGTGGTCCCATTGTTCTATTGTGTCTTGCTTGTGAACAAACTATTATGGGATGTATGTGTTTATGTGTATTGGCTTGGTGGGAGGTGTCTGCTGTGTGTATCGTTACTAAATGTATTTCCCGGCCCTGTGTATATATCTTGTGTCTGTGATAAAATAAAGCAGTCTATTTCCTGTCTATATACAAGTCTGGTGCTGTCTCGTCCTATATGGTCAGCGGTGGTGTCCGTGGATCTGTGTTCAGACAGGGGAGCGGGAGTCTAACGTAAATACCCTAGTGCAGTGTCCGGTTCCGTTACAGCCTGCACCGGTGACAACTGTAGGAAGAGATTTTTAGTTTTCTGTCTGCGCTGGAGACTTACCCCTTGGTTCACATATATTATTATTATACAGTATTTATATAGCGCCAAAGGGTATGCTCAGCGCTGTACAGTAGCAAGGGGGACATAACATGAGACAAGACAGTAACAATACACTACACAAGAGGTTCGAGGGCCCTGCTCTTTCGAGCTTACAATCTAGGAGGGAGGGGAAGGTGGCACAGGAGGAGATGGCTGTGGGGGATGGAGTGGTGGGAGGAGTGGAGGTGGTTAGTTGTTAGGTGAGGTTGGGGTAGGCTTCCCTGAAGAGGAGGGTTTTCAGGGTGCGCCTGAAGGTGAGGAGGGTAGGTGACAGTCTAATGGATTGGGGTAGGGAGTTCCAGAGGATGGGGAAGTCCTGGAGAAGTCCTGCAATCGGGTGTGGGAGGAGGAGACCAGGGAGCTAGAGAGCAGGAGGTCCTGTGAGGAGCGGAGGGCACGGGTAGGGTAGTATCTGGGTATCAGGTCAGTTATGTAGTTCGGGGCGGCATTGTGAATGGCCTTGTAGGTCAGGGTTAGCAGCTTGAACTTGATGCGTTGGGCCAGAGATTGCTTATAAGACACTTGTTAACTTCAAATCCATCTGTAGCCCACTTTTTATTTTATATGCGGCTGTACGGGCACAAGAGCCCATTCATTTGAATGGACTCCCGTGCCCGTGACACGCAGAGAAGTCACTGCACTTCTGAAAACGCAGCCCGCACGAGAACTTCGGTTCCCAGTACATCTGCGCGCTTTCCAGTGCGGGTGGCGTGCCATTAGAACTAATGGCACCCGCCCGCGGGTCCGCATTCCTCTGTGCAGGTGGTGCGGCTGTACGGATTTTTGTGCGGATCCGCAGTGGCACCACCCACATAGATGTGAACCTAGCCTTACTACCCAGGATAGACTATAGGAAAAATAAAAAGTGGGCTACAGATGGATTTGAAGTTAGTGTCTTATAAGCAATCTCTGGAGATGTCATGTCTAAAAAAGGCTTCAACAGTACTACAGTGGGGGAACAAGTCAGCCATTTTTAATTTCAAATTTAAAAAATGCAGCATCCAAACCACCTGAGTAACATCAAGCACAGGGGGTTACTGTACATGGTGTTTATTGTATCATTGGTGTACTTTAACTCATACAGATTATGGCTGTTTCTGAATGCAGTGCAATGCTGGTATATAAAATGAATGCTATGCAACTGGAACAATGGCAGTTTGCAGTGAATGTTATGAGGTGCCGATAGGTGAACCACTAGATAGCAATGGTCTGCTCTGCCTACACTAACAGCAATTTGTCAGCTTGGTGTCCCTGGCAAGCCACGCACACGAATGACAAAATTTGATCAACGATCCTAAACAGTATAAGATTAGAGAAAGTGATTTTCTTCCATGTATAAATCACTAATTGATAGTTCCCATGGTAATCAACTCCAAGGCAGGGAAGGATATTGCTGGCTTAGATGGAGAGGTATGGCAAGCTGTGTTGGAACTACTTGTATCCCTTTCACCAACACAATGGCTATCTCAACTTTTTGTCGTACACAGGGCTTATAGAACGCCACAGAAACTACATCAATGGTACCATAGAGAGAGTCCGGACTGTCCCAAAGGTGAAGGATCCCCTGCGGATCTGAAGCACATGCTCTGGAAATGCACTAAATTGGTGCACTATTGGCAAAGTGTTACTACTAGTGGTGCACCGAAATGAAAATTCTGGTGCCGAAACCGAAAATTCAAAATGCACTTGGCCGAAAAACCGAAATGCGTAGTTTTGAAAAATTAATAAATATTTTTTGGAAAAAAAAAAATACATGGATAGAAAAAAAAAAAAAAAAACACAACAACCAACAATATATATTCCATTTTTTTTTTGTAAAATTGGAAAGAGGATGCTACGGTGAGTAAATAGATACCCACCATGTCATGCTTTAAAATTGCGCACGCTCGCGGAATGTGGCAAACTACGGTGTATTCAAATTATCCATAGGCATTTACAGGTTAAAATTATCGTTCTGAAATTTGCAGCGATAGCTCACGTGTGATGCGGTCACCATTTACCAATGTGTGTATGTTCCCATATGCACATGAGCACTTACATTTAAATAATATTTTTTAAAACACTTTTTTTGCTCAACTTTATTGCCATTACAAGGGACAAACAATGTCCCTTGTGATAGCATGGGCCGTGACAGATTCCTTTTAACCTCCCTGGCGGTCTGATTATGTCCATATTTCTGTGCTCAAAGCGGTACATTTTTTTGCATGGAAATATGTATTTTTTTTATTGCAGGCCTGTAATTCTTAGGAATAACTCACTGAAATCTGTCCGAACAAGAGTCTAGTAAACATCCCGGGTATGCTAAAATTTGAAACACGAAATCATAAATTATAATATGATAAATATTCATAAAAAATAATAATAATATAATAAATTTAATTCAATAATATAATCAAACCAAAAACACTGAAATGTGAAATAGAGCGCCAAGTTCGCACATCGCTGAGCAAAGTCGCAGAATCGTTTTCAGTGTCTGATGACGAATTTCCCCCACGAATCATTATCACTCAATTCTGCAAGTGGTTCTGATTTACTATCGCTGTTCTCTAGCCGGTCTAAAACCGCGTCTGACCTAAAGGGACGCTTTTTGGACGCCATGGACGTTTCTCAGTTTCCAGGCAGAAAGAACAGTAAAAATGCAGGCAGGGCGCCGGAAAAGCACTCGGGACAAAATTTATGTGAAATGGTTTGATACAGGAATGTTATACTATGTGATTTTAGTGTATTTAGTGAATGTCACTTTTACAACTTTAAAATCTCCCGCCAGTTCCGTCCCCCGTACGTCCCGACGTCACAGGGAACGGAAGACAGATGCTGGCATCGGCCGGAGGACATTGCCGGGGACACTGCAGGAGGGACATCGCGGGAGCGCAGGACAAGGTAAGTGAAGAAGAGATCCCGGAGAAACGCTGCAGTGTATTCCCGAGTGTAGCTCGGGGTTACCGCTTGTGGTGCTGAAACTTTACCCCGAGCAACACTCGGGAATACCGCCAGGGGGGTTAAGGAGAGATCTGGGGTCTATATGGGCTCCCCTTTCCACTGCCTGTAAAAGGGATCCAGAGGCTAGGAATAGGATCGCTTGATCAGCTGACAATGGATCAACCATGATCCTGGTATAACTACCTCAATACAACCCTGTATATATGGTGGTAATGAACTGGGTAAATTTCACATTATAAAAAAGTAACACCACCACTTTAAACCACCCAAACTAAAGTTTGAATGGACTGACCTTTGAGACGAAAGTCCTAACACACAGGCAGTCCCAACCCCGAGAACCATTTTGCTTAAAAAAAAAAAAAATAAATAAAAAAAAAAGGAGAAGAAAGAAAAAAAGCTTTAATTTAAAAAGCACCTACCAACTGCAGCTACGGCAGGACACTTGTCATATATGTACTTTGAGAAGACATCCCTCAATGTTTTAGCATTGATGGCCTGTGAAGAGAAAAAACAAAAAAGTTCAGCATTACACACAGACAGACCAAAAAAAACAAAAAAAAAAAAACAATTTTTTTTTCTTAGTACACACAGGCAGTGGAAGAGGGACACAGGTAATGCTTTTGTCACATCTGTCCTAAGCCTGGTAATTTTATTTTTTTCAAAGCATTTAAAGCAGGGGTGCTCAACCCTTTGAAGAGAGAGAGCCACAATGAAATTAAATGGTTAAGAAATTCACATTTATTTTGAACAGCGTAATGAACATTTTTCTTCTGCAGGAGGGAGAGGAGGAGGAGAAGCTGGCTTTCAGCAGTTGCAAGAGGAAAATGGAGAGGATCAGTTCCAGTATATGTCCCCCAACCCTCCACCCCTGCTGTCCAAGTGTAAAACAGAATGTGATACGACAGAGGCCACACAGGCCCCCTGGAGCATGGGGGGTGTCAGGGTCGCCATTGCAACCCCTGACGCTACACCTGTGGTTGGGGAGGTAAACACGTCAACTATGGGGTTTTACAGCCCCCCCATCCCTCCCTACAAGGCCGCTTTCACACTCAAGCAGTGCGGTTTACCCGAACTGCAGGTGCAGCACAGCACATCTGCGGTTTTCCAGCAGGTTAGTGGCGCTTTGCCATAGACTTCCATTATATCTTGTTGGTGTGGTGCACTTTCTGAAAGCACACCAAAACGCCTACATTCAAGAGATTTGGTGTGCCTTCAGAAATCGCACCAAAACGGCAGAATATAATAGAAGTCTTTGGCTCAGTGCAGCTAGCCCGCAGGAATACTGCAGGTACACTATGCTGCACCCGCGGATCAGCGTGAAAGCATCCTAATAGTTGTTAGCCCCTTTTATAAGTGCTAATATGTCCATTGCAAAAGCATAGTGTATGTGTTGTTTAATACACAGACTTTTTTTTCAAGCGTCTGATGGTATAGCTTTTCAGGCTGCTAGAAAGGTCCCAGATAAAGTGCACTTGAGATCACTACACCTGGGACAGGAGATGGCGCTACAAAGGAAGCATCAGCATATGCAGCTCCTGCTTTCTCCATTGCCGCCTGCTGTCTCCGCTGCTGGCTCAATGCACTCTGATGCTCTAGGATGGTGGATCAGCAAGCCCATATTGCGATCAATGTGTTGCCCACCCCAGGCATGTGCTTCCCTGGTTTGAGATTGAGGGCCCCATCAGACGGCTCCGAGGGCCCCATCAGAGGGCTCCAAAGGCCCCATCAGAGGGCTCCAAAGGCCCCATCAGAGGGCTCCAAAGGCCCCATCAGAGGCCCATCAGAGGGCTCCAAAGGCCCCATCAGAGGGCTCCAAAGGCCCCATCAGAGGGCTCCAAAGGCCACATCAGAGGGCTCCAAAGGCCACATCAGAGGGCTCCAAAGGCCACATCAGAGGGCTCCAAAGGCCACATCAGAGGGCTCCAAAGGCCACATCAGAGGGCTCCAAAGGCCACATCAGAGGGCTCCAAAGGCCACATCAGAGGGCTCCAAAGGCCACATCAGAGGGCTCCAAAGGCCACATCAGAGGGCTCCAAAGGCCACATCAGAGGGCTCCAAAAGCCACATCAGAGGGCTCCGAGGGCTGCAAGTTGACCACCCCGATTTAAAGTGTAACAGGCTGTTTCATGAACCTCTACCAGAAAATAGGACTGCAAACATGATGGCTTACATCGATCCTGGCACTCCATTCCTCCAGAGAAACGCGCTGGCCTAAAGCCAAGACTTGGCGCCCGATATCGTCACACACAGGGGTCGTGCCTTAGAAAGAAAAATCAGAACACTTATAACGCGGTTCTTTTGTTGTGCATATTTCTCTCCACCCATCATATCTTACATACCATCTAGTTGGGCCACTAGAGCATGTTTCAGTGCCTTCTTCGCCCGGGCCACTTCACCGTCGGTTGTGCTAGTGCAAAGACGCATCCTGCAAATTTAAAGTTCGAATAATCTTTAGTATGACAGAGGACACAGCCCTTGTTCATGTATGCAGATATTCGGGATAAACGGTCACGGTCATAAGGAATGCATTTAGAAAAATTTACAGCAGGAATTATTGAAAGCAAAAAAATAACCAAAAAAGTGAATCTTCTTTTAAGGTCTCATTCACATGGGTGCAGGGGCGGACTGACAACTCGTGGGGCCCCCGGACAATAGGGGATCATGGGGCCCCTGTGTCCTTGCCCAAACTCAAAAAAGCCTATGAAAAAAGGTACCAGGGGCATCTCATGGGGCCCCCTACTGACCCCGGGCCCTCGGACAGTGCCCGAGTTTCCAAATGGTCAGTCCGCCCCTGCATGGGTGTATTTAAGCATGTGAGGGTAGTAGTTGTGTAATGTGCATTCACGTGCAGGAAGTCCCATTCATGTCAACTGGGATGCAGTGGCTGCAGGGACACAAACGTGACTCCCAATTTGACATCTGTGTGGGTGTGTCCCCCCAAACTGTGTTCGGGGACAAACCCAGACCCAAATGGATGTAAAATTGGGAACAGTGGCTGTGCCTGTGCAACTGCTGCATCTCAATGGACATGAATGGGACTGCCTGCGTGCAGATGCACTTTATACCTCTACATCCTGTGCAGGCAAAAAAAAACACGACCTCCATTCCATGGGGGTACACTTAAAGTGACAGTAATGTCTGCTTCTTCATTTACAGCTACAGGTCAGCCTATAATAAAGCTGACCTGCAGCTACAGTAAGCAGCTGGTGATGTCACCGGCGCATGCGCACTGTGCTCTGATTGGATAGTGCTGTCCAGGTGTGCTGCAGGCTGTGACTCCCATGTACTAGAATTATTGCTCTTATTCTGGTGTGTGCGGCGATATGTGATGTGTATTGCAATCGACGTTTTCATGCATAGGTGCCCCAGCTTGTGCTTTATGTTCGTACGTGCGTGCGTGCGTATATGTGGGGGTGGGGTGGTATGTGCTTGGGTATAACTCATTTTTTACAATAAAAAAAAACTTTTTCATCACATAGGGGACAAAGTCCCCTCAACCTCTGGAACATTTCCAAAATCTGCCCCTTCCTGACCAATGACACCACAAATCAACTTATTAATGCCTTGGTTATATCCCGCCTCGATTACTGCAACTCCCTCCTCACTGGTCTACTGTTACACAGGCTATCCCCCCTTCAATTTATTATGAATGCTGCTGCTAGACTCATCCACCTTACCGACCGATCAGCGACTGCTGCTAGACTCATCCACCTTACCGACCGATCAGCGACTGCTGCTAGACTCATCCACCTTACCGACCGATCAGCGACTGCTGCTAGACTCATCCACCTTACCAACCCGATCAGCGACTGCTGCTAGACTCCATCCACCTTACCGACCGATCAGCGACTGCTGCTAGACTCATCCACCTTACCGACCGATCAGCGACTGCTGCTAGACTCATCCACCTTACCGACCGATCAGCGACTGCTGCTAGACCCATCCACCTTACACGACTGCTGCTAGACCCATCCACCTTACCGACCGATCAGCGACTGCTGCTAGACTCATCCACCTTACCGACCGATCAGCGACTGCTGCTAGACCTCCACCTTACCGATCAGCGACTGCTGCTAGACTCATCCACCTTACCGACCGATCATCAGCGCTGCTGCTAGACATCCACCTTATGATGCTGCTGCTAGACTCATCACCTTACCGACCGATCAGCGACTGCTGCCCTCTCTGCCAATCCCGCCACTGGCTTCCACTAACCCAACGTATAAAATTCAAAATACTAACCACAGCTTACAAAGCCATCACAACACACCCCCAGCTACATCACCAATCTCATCCGCAGATACCGCCCAAATCGCCCACTCCGCTCCTCCCATGATATCCTCCTCTCTAGCTCCCTCATCACCTCCTCCCACGCTTGCCTCCAGGACTTCTCCAGAGCCTCTCCCATCCTCTGGAACTCCCTACCACAGCATGTCCGGTCAGCCCCCACCCTGTCTGCCTTTAGGAGATCTTTGAAAACTCACTTCTTCAGGGAAGCCTACCCCACCTCCACCTAAGAACTGTACTTGAATCACCTCCGCCAGATCATCCCCCGCAGCTAAAACCTTTTGTATCACCTCCCCCTTCCTTTAGATTGTAAGCTCCACGAGCCGGGCCCTCCTATTCCTTCTGTACTGAAATGTATTGTAATTGTACTGTCTCCCCTATATTGTAAAGCGCTGAGCAAACTGTTGGCGCTATATAAATCCTGTATAATAGTAATAATAATAATAAATGTGATGATTTTTTGGTGACAGGTTCTCTTTATTGAGGCATCCAGGGTCTAAAAGACCCTGCATGTCTCCCCTGTACTACACTGAATGTAATGCAGTGCACATCATTCTTTCCCAGCTTCCATGGCCATGAAACTCTCAAGGTTGACCCGGAAGTGAGATAACGTTCTTCCAGATCAGGACAAGAAGGGGAGCGGAAGTGAGCGGTCTCCTCCCTCCCCTCTGACGGCGGCGAGCCGGTCCCAGGCCTGGCCAGAGCCCGGGAGACCTCACGTCGGGCGATAGGAATCGAACATCCCTGTGTTGACATTGTTTTACCAGACAGGAGACGGGGGGCAAAGCTCCAATGGCAACACAGACAGAAATAGAAATGGCTTTTTTTTTAGTAGCATAGGGGAACCCCTCATTTTTATTCTCGTTTGTCCCACAAGATTGCAAGTTGCAGCTTTCCCCTCACTTCCTATCTGATGAAAGCATTATCAAGACAGGAAGAAGGGGGACATTATTTAATGGACCAGACAGTTCTCATCCTTCCCCATACTATCCAGAAGTATAAAGAAAGGTTTTTTGGTTTACATACACTAACATCTGAGTTAAAGCAGAGCTCCACCCAATAGGGGAAGTTTCCGCTTTAAGCCTTTGCCCCCCGCTCCCCATTAAGGATTGGTACCTTTGGGGACGGGTACTCAAATTTGACAGGTACCCCCTCCCACTTCCGCTGCAATCGCCTAAGGCGATCGGAAGCGGAAGTTGTCCTCCCCCTATTGTCTTCTGGGACACGTGACAGGTCACAGAAGACTACAGGCTCATTCGCAAAGCGCAGCGCGTCTCGCACATGCGCAGTGTGCAACTGGCTGTGAATCCATAAGCTGTCACAGCCGGGTGCCCACACTAAAGATGCCGGTGCCAGGGAGAGAAGACGGCCGGTGAAACCAGCCATGATGAGGACACCGCTGGACCGAGGGACAGGTAAGTGGCTGCATTTTAAAAGTCAGTAGGTACAGTTTTTGTAGCTGCTGACTTTTTTTTCAGCTGGAACTCCGTTTTAAAGACCATGCCAGCCAGCTCTAGAATGTAGAAAGTGGACGTCAAGTTGGTAGCTTTGGCCAGCACACATGAAGCCTTACCATCTCTGCTAGGAGTTTTTTGGAGGAAGTGTTCTGTATGACTGAGGAAGGCTTCACCATTTGAATTCTGCAGTGCAGTATTTGCAAGAAGGAGGGAACCTGCTTACATACCATTCTGCCTGAGCAATGTGCAGCATGTCCTCGATATTGTTTTTTATCGGTTACCAAGTACATCCCCAGAAGCCCGGTGTCTGAGTAGCAGATATTGAATGGCTGGAAACTCTGGCAAAGTTTGAACTCTGCTGCAGCCCGACCCACATTGCTGGACAGGTTCTAAAAATGTGAAGAGAATTTAGTGTAGAAAGGAAAACAAACCTCAGATCATAAAACTTACACGCTGGCTCTAAAATCTTAACCTGGAATGCTTTGTTAGCCTAACTTGGGCAGTCACAGGCAGTCTAAAAGCTGAACTGCAGCCTTCCCTTTAGTCTTGCACAGTTCAGGCTCGTCTTCTGCATTGAAATGGCTTACGCAAAATTCACTGAACGTCTCACAGTGTGCATTAGAAGCTGCAGCATGTCAGATACAGCCTGCTTCATTTCCTGATTGCCGGACATCCAACATCTAAGCCAGGGGTGTCAAACTGCAGCCCTCCAGCTGTTGTGAAACTACAAGTCCCATGAGGCATTGCAAGGCTGACAGTTACAAGCATGACTCCCAAAGGATGAGGCATGATGGGATTTGTAGTTCAACAGCAGCCTCTCTCAGATCCCACCTGGTCCCAGTGCCACGTGTCCCTTCTTCAGTCTCTTTTTCCAGATCGGGGGGCGTTGCTGCCCCCCTGAAAAATGCCGCCCTAGGCAAATGCCTTGTGGTAAATACTCCCCTGGTCTAATTGTCATTACAAGATACTATAATTGTTGAATTTTTTGTTTGCATTCGGAGTCAGATTGTATTACGCATTGCAGACTGATCAACTATGTTAATTACAATTATTATTATTATACAGTATTTATAAAGCGCCAATAGTTCGCTCAGCACTGTACATTACAAAGGGGGACAGAACATGTGACAGAACAATACCAATACAATGCAAAACATGAGGGGATTGAGGGATTGAGGGCCCTGCTCTTTGGAGCTTACAATCTAGGAACAATTGTTTGGATATTAATGGCACATTAAGTTGCAGTTGTCTCCCATGCAGGAGGACATGTACCCTGGATATAGTTTCGCATGGCAGTACACTTTGAACCCAATGCATTGTGCTGTACATTACATAATGGGGTTTGCTGCTCCCTTTTTATGTTGTGCTGTACACTACACACTCCGGGTCACTGCACTTCTTCAGGGGTGTCAAACTGGCGGCCCTCCACCTGTTGTAAAACTACAAGTCCCATGAGGCACTGCAAGGCTGACAATTATAAGCATGACTGCCAAAGCCTGAGGCATGATGGGACCTGTAGTTCAACAGCTAGAGGGCCGCAGTTTGACACCTGTAATCCAAGCTCCCCCCCACCACAACATGACTGTCCCAGGCCCACCTCTTTCATTCACTGGATTTAAGTTTTAACAGTTGGAGGCTCAGCATCACTTAGGTAGGTTCGCATGCAAAAGCAGTCTGCCTAGAATGCCTACGCCTTCAGATTTCCATACACCAATCAATGCGTTTTCATAACTCCTCCCAAGAGCCAGCACACTGCTTATATCAGGGCCAATGGCTCTTGAGAGCTGTACTGAGACAAAAGATTTCAACTAAGACAACAGCCACTAGAACAAGGGACACTTTGCATTCAAAGTGCTGTTGCATGTGCAGACTAAAATCCAATTTCCACACGATTACAACGCATTTTCACTGAGTGAGCAGCATGGTCACCCCATTACAGAAGTGGAACAACAGATCTACTGACAGGATCAACAGGTAATAAAAACTATACTATTCCCTCAGCTCAGTGGTTTATTTCAAAAGAGTCCTGGATTGTTTCTTAGATACACAGAATATAACTGGATATAACATTTATAGGGAAAGTTGATCCAGGGAATATCTGATTGCCTCTCGGGGGATCAGGAAGGAATTTTTTTTTCCCTGCAGGAGCACATTGGATCGTGCTTTTGCTTTTTTTTTTTTGCCTTCCTCTGGATCAACTGTGGGTATAGGATTATAACTTTTTTTTTTTTTTTAAAGGTTGAACTGGATGGACTTTTGTCTTTTTTCAGCCAGACTAACTATGTAACTATTGGGGGTCTCCGAAAAAACAAAAAAACACTGCTCTGTTTATTATAGTAGCAGACTGCAGCATTTGTCCTTTCCCCATAGTTCTGCTTCAAAGTAGACTTTAAATATGAATCCCTTTAGATATACCGAGGATCAGGGCCCTCCTATCCCTCTTGTATTGAACTGTATTGTTGCTGTATTGTCTCCTGTTATATTTAAAGCGCTGAGCAAACTGTTGGCGCCATATAAATCCTGTATAATAAAATAATATATAAATCCTGTATAATAATAATAATATATATATAATATATATATAAAAATCCTGTATAATAATATATAAATCCTGTATAATAATAATAATTTTTATAAATCCTGTTTTATAATAATAATAATAATAATAATATTATATAAAATCCTGTATAATAATAATATATAATAATAATATATATATAAATAAATCCTGTATAATAATAATAATAATATATTATATATATATATATATATAAATCCTGTAATAATAATATATTATATATATAATCCTGTATAATAATAATAATATATTAAATCCTGTATAAAATAATAATACTAATATTTTAAATAAATCCTGTATATAATAATAATAATAATAATATATAAATCCTGTATAATAATAATTTATAATATAATCCTGTATAATAATAATAATATATAAATCCTGTATAATAATAATATATAAAATCCTGTTTAATAATAATAATATATATATAAAAAATCCTGTATAATAATAATATATAAATCCTGTATAATAAATAATAATAATAAAAAAATAAATCCTGTAATAATATAATAAAAAATAAATCATGTATAATAATAATAATTTATATAAATCCTTCGATATTTTATAATTAATAAAAATTTATTTTAATAATAATATAATAATAATAAATAAATCATGTATAATAATAATAATAATAATATATAAATCCTGTATAATAATAATATATAAATCCTGTATATAATAAATAAATCCTGTAATAATATATATATATATATATATATATATATATATTATATATATATATAAATCCTGTATATAATAATAATATAATATAAATCCTGTATAATAATTATAATATATATATATATATAAATATATATATATATAAATCCTGTATATAATTATATATATAATATATATATATATATATATATATATATATAAATCCTGTATAATAATAATAATATATAAATCCTGTATAATAATAATAATAATATATATAAATTCTGTATAATAATAATATATATATACAAATCCTGTATAATAATAATAATATATATATACAAATCCTGTATAATAATAATAATATATAAATCCTGTATAATACTGCCAAAAACAGTTTGGGTAAGTCATACAGTTCTTCTAGGCGATATTCCATCGCTAATCAATTAAATAAAAAAGGAAAAAAACATTACAGCTTATTATAAAACCGGTATGTTGAGTCTTACCTTGCCTCCGCCATAAGTAACATCGTAGCTGCTAATAATAGTATTGGCCAAAGCCAAAGCCACGTTATCCTTGCTGTTCCACCCAGGCCCCTTCTACAGCAAGAGTAATGTGAGCCAGAGGTAGGTCGTCATTGCGGGCAGAGAGCTGGAAGGAGAAGAAAATGTTAAAAGGATATGACCAGACATTACCCTAGCCTTCATTATACACATGCAGATCTCTATATTGACTATCAACAGCTGGAAAGTCAAACACTTGGGGCCCAGACTAGGTGCTTTGTTACCACGTTACACAAGGCCGCCCTGCAGTATCAAAACAACAGCGGCTGCGCACCAGAGATGTTCATAACCCAACAGTGCCCACCCTCAGGCCCACCCCACTGACACATTTTACCCTGATTGGGCTTAACCAAGTGAGACCCCATCCAGCACCTGTTAAACCCCTGACTGAGGGAGGGCATAGCAGGGACCTGGAGCAGAGCTTAATTATACAAGTTAAAAATGGAACTAAACCCACCGATTAACCGTTTAAAAAAAAAATGGGTACAGGCATATTGGGAATGGCAACAGTCACAGTTGCTTGCGTGTGCAACCAAAAATGATCAAACTATCAAATGTCTAGTGTCATGACTGATCACATGTGCAGTACTTTGACAGTTGAAGATCAAACAGAGGTTAAGATGGCAGCTCCCTTGGCTGAGAAGGAGGTTTAGTTCTGCTTTGAAGGCAGCTGGCTCATTTTGAATAATGAACTTTAATGCATTGGTAAAAAAAAAAAAAAAAAAAAAAAAAAAACACACCACACACAACACAACCATTTTCACTGTGCAACTCTAGGCTGCCATGAAAAAAAAAAAACAACAAAACAAACAGGAAAAAAAACAAAAAACACACAAAAAAAAAAAAATAAAACAGAAAAAAAAAAAAACTGCATTAACCTAACCCACCCTTCATACACCTACCTTGATCTGACAGCCATGGTTGCACGGTCTGATTACATTCAGTGGTACTGTCCTGATAATGCATTTATTTCAGGTACTTATATAGCGCCGTCAGTCTACGCAGCACTTTACATATATATTGTACATCCACATCAGTCCCTAACCCTCAAGGGGTGTACAATCTAAGGTCCCTAACCCTCAAGGGGCGTACAATCTAAGGTCCCTAACCCTCAAGGGGCGTACAATCTAAGGTCCCTAACTTACATTCATACACATATTAGGGCCAATTTAGACAGGATCCAAATAACCTACCAGCATGTCTTTGGAGTGTGGGAGGAAACCGGAGTACCGGAGGAAACCCACACAGGCACAGGGAGAACATGCAAACTCCAGGCAGGAGGTGCCGTGGCTGGGATTCGAACCAACGACCCTAGTGCTGCCAGGCGGGAAGTGCTAACCATTTAGCCACTGTGCTGCACATTGAAGCGCCCCGATATTCTATGGAGCGGTGTCTGGTGGCCAAACACCATCAGAGAGGGTCCCAAAGAAGTCCCTGAGATTGTAATGCACAGGCACAACCAGGACAGAAAAGACTTGGTCAAGAGATATAAAATACAGCTATCAGATTGAGGCAAGTATGCACTTGTAGAGGGGAAGGGTGGGTTAGATTAGATCAGGGAAAAAAAAAAAAAAAAAAAAAAAAAAAAAAAGAGGCAAAAAAGGATAGGTGCGTGCACCTATCCAAGTGAGAATGGTCCCTAAGAAGCCTATTCAAAGAGGTGACCCAAAGCAAGCCAAGTGTCACACACATTTGTAAAGGTAAAAAAAAAAAAATAAAAATCGCTTTTACTAAGTCAACAAACTTGTATAGGAATGCAAAATTCGCTTAAAGCAAACAAGTCTGCATAACTCACTTTCAACAGTTCAAAATGCAGGTCAGGATGTCAAGTGCACTTGTTAAAATTCTGAATAATCTGAGAAGCATCTCAAACTGATGCCAAAAGCACATGCCCTCGATGTCAATGTGCTGGTAGGTTTTCTTTTTTTTTTTTTTTTAACCACCTCCCGTCCAGCTGTTGTATATAAACAGCTGGACAGTGGCAGTGCAGGGTCGGCCTCCCTGCCCCCTGCTTGTGTACGCTCCCTGGGAGCGCGCAGCTCCGCGATCCAGTGCCCGTTGTGTTGTGACCACCGATCGTCGTATGGGACCTCTGTGCGAAGTCCCGATCATGTGATCACTGATTGGCCAATCAGTGATTACATGCAGAGAAGTAAGCAAGATGTCACTTCCTAACATCATTGCTTACTACCTGTGAATGATCACAGAGGTCACATGGTACAAGGCTATTCACAACAGCCTTGTACCATGTGACAAGCTGTGACCAATCACAGCTCACACAGTAGTTCTCAATGGCTGCAAGAATGCAGTCAGAGAGAAGGAGAAATGATTGCTTTTACAGCTTTTATGGGTGTAAAAGCAATCAGTGTAAAAAAAAAAAAAAAAAAAAAATCTTCATCACCCCCACAAGTAGTACAGTCTCACCATAAACATAAATAATAATATAAAAAATATATAAAAAAAGTTTAAAAATTATAAATTTTTGGTTATAAACTAATTTGGGTCTTTTTTTTTTTTACTAAAGATAACGGAATAAATTTTGGCCAAGATTTATGATGAAATATTATTTATTTGCAAAATGTTATAAAGAAAAACACTTTTTTTCCAAATATTTGGACTATTTCATTTACATAGCAAAAAAATAAAAATCCCAGTGGTGAATAAATACCAGCAAAATAAAGCTTTATCTGTCTCAAAAAAATGCTAAACAATTCATATGGGTACAGTGTTGCATGACCGCGCAATTGTCATTCAAAGTGTGATAGCACTGAAAGCTGAAAATTGGACTGGAAGGGGGTGAAAGTGTCCGGACTGCAAGGGGGTGAAAGTGTCCGGACTTGAAATGGTTAAATCACAGTAAAGGAATAAGGCTTCTCTAGAAATTGGGCCCCAAGTGTTGGAGTGTGAAGGATTCTGTATGACAATGTTTTTACTTACTACGCTTCCAGTAAACCTGCATGGGGCCAGCACTGGAATAGCGTCCTTCTCATACTCTGCGGATAAACCGCCGAAGTGTCGCTGAGCGAGCTCACACAACTCCTTGTGGTTAATTCCTGATAGGAAAGAGTAAGATTTTAGAAGCAGTTTGGCCGCCATCTCTAGATGATCACATTGCAGGTCTACAGTGACAACCTTGATTCTAGTTCTGCTTTGTGTAACGGTTAGGCTTTGTTCACACAATACGTGCAGAAAAACATGCGGATTTCACTTCCAGGGACAACCGTTTACATGCGTTTCAGTGAGTTTTGTACACGGTGCAGATTCCTGCACAGAAAAATTCTGCAAGTGATACTAGTGTTGTGGAGTGAACAGAGCACACAGAACGGTTTTCTTTGTGCCCTTGCAGAACACATGCAGGAAAAAAACTCAGGTCTCTGCACCATGGTGTGAACCGGCCTCACTGGTCCTTCACTCAGCCTTTAACTGGACAGTGAAAAGAGAAGCAGAAGACTGAGAAGATCATCAACGTCATTCTGCTCCTATCGGCATGCCCTTTGGTGACACATGAGCACCGCAGCACAACTGGCCTTGTTCTGCATCTCCTATCAATCTAAGCACTGCTCAACACAAGCTGCAAGATGCTGATAAGCCAAAATTCTGGTACTGCTTGCATTAACCTCCCTAGCAGTCTGATTATGTCCATATTTCTGTGCTCAAAGCGGTACATTTTTTTTGCATGGAAATATGTATTTTTTTTATTGTAGGCCTGTAATTTGTAGGAATAACTCACTGAAATCTGTCCGAACGAGAGTCTAGTAAACATCCCGGGTATGATAAAATTTGAAACAGGAAATCATAAATTATAATTTAATAAATACTCATAAAAAAATAATAAAATAATAAAATTCAAATCAAAAACACTGAAATGTGAAAGAGCGCCAAGTTCGCACATCGCTGAGCAAAGTCGCAGAATCGTTTTCAGTGTCTGATGAGGAATTTCCCCCACGAATCATTATCACTCAATTCTGCAAGTGGTTCTGATTTACTATCGCTGTTCTCTAGCCGGTCTAAAACCGACTTTGACCTAAAGGGACGCTTTTTGGACGCCATGGACGTTTCTCAGTTTCCAGGCAGAAAGAACAGTAACAATGCAGGCAGGGCGCCGGACAAAGCACTCGGGACACAATGTATGTGAAATGGTTTGATACAGGAATGTTATACTATGTGATTTTAGTGTATTTAGTGAATGTCACTTTTTGTCATTTTTAAATTTCTCGCCGTTCCGTCCCCCGTACATCCCAATGTCGCAGGGGACGGAACCCAGAAGACAGATGCCGGCATCCGCTGGAGGACATTGCCGGGGACACTGCAGGGGGGACATCGCGGGAGCGCAGGACAAGGTAAGTGAAGAACAGATCCCGGAGCAGTGCCGCATGGTAAGCCCGAGTGTAGCTCAGGGTTACCGCTTTTGGTACTGAAACTTTACCCCGAGCTGCACTCGGGAATACCGCCAGGGAGGCTACAAAAAAAAAAAAAAAAAAAAATTTAAATGATTTATTATCGAGTACAGAGCTGCATTACATTGGTGCTTTTTACATTTGCCTGAAGATTAGCTACAATATGTAGTGTGATTGCAAGACATTACCTCCAGCTGCTGCCAGCACCATGCGCGGTCCTTTGTAATGCAGGTTGACGTATTCAAGCAGATCAGCCCGTGTAAGCCTCCTATAAAATATTTAACATTTGTTATATATCAAAATACATAAAATATCAAAATATTTGATATCGCAATATGATTTATGGTAACCAGATGTGCTTTAAAGTGGAGTTCCACTTGACCTATCAAAAAAATAAAGTCAGCAGCTGCAAAAACTGTAGCTGCTGACTTTTAAAAAACAGCCACTTACCTGTCCCTCGGTCCCGTGGTGTGTCACCCGCAGCCCGTTTCACCAGCCGTCCTGTATTCCAGGAGACCGACATCTTCAGTGTGGGCACCCGGCTGTGACAGCTTGCGGCTTCATAGCCGGGTACCCACTGCGCATGCGCGAGTAGCGCTGCGCTTCGTGAACGGTCCTGTAGTCTTCTGGGACCTGTCACGTGTCCCACAAAACTACAGGGAGGGAGGACACTTTCCGCTTCCGATCACCTAAATTGCGGGAGGGGCGAAACGCATTGACGCAATTTCCAGTCCACACATCCGACGTCTGACGTCACTTCCGGTGAGTGTAGCGCACGCCAGGTGGTGCGTTCCAGCAGCCATTTTTGAGGGATTTATACTGGTCTTCTGCTGTTCCTCTGCTCTTACTGGCTTGTATTGATGTGAGAATCCTGGATTTTGTGGCTGTTTGCTGGTTCTTAATATCAGGCTGGCGTTGGCCTAAATAAATGCGCCTTTTACAAGTTGGAAAAATGTGAGTGGCCTGGATTCTGTCTTCTGTTATAATATCTATCTGGCAATATTACACTATATAAGTTTTTTCCTCCGATATGGTGGAGTAAACAAGGATACCACGGTGAGGACCTGGGAGAAGATACATACCTGGTGGGGCAGGCTACTATTCATCTGATGCAAAGAGGGTTTAGGATTCCCCAAAAATCCTTAAAGGATTTTCATTCACCAAAATCTGGTGAGTGTATTTGATGTTGGTGTGCACGGGTGATAGGTGGAAGTTTCCTAAAAGCATTTGGAATCCTCAGCTTTCATCACAAGTGGTTTTGGGGTGTCTTTCCTGAAGACTTTTTGACAGAGATATGCGCCAATGATTATTCGACATTTATGTTTTGTGATTCACTAAATTTGTATGAAGGTCTATTTTGCGCTGTTTCATTTATAAATATTATTTGTGTTTTCACATTTTCTGCACAGCAGCAATTTAGAAGAGGAATACACATATTTTGTACATGGCACTTTTTTGTTGGCGCAGAAATATTATATTTTTTGTTATGATTGGTCACAGCTTGTCACATGGCACAAGGCTGTTGTGAATGGGCTTGTACCATGTAACCTCTGTGATCATTCACAGATTTCACACGTAGTAAGCAATAATGTCACAAGTGACATCTTGCTTACTACTCTGCATGTGATCACTGACTGGCCAATCAGTGATCACATGATCGGGACCTCGCACAGAGGTCCCCTATGACGATAGGTGTTACACTGTGTCTGGAGGACACAGCGGGCACCGGATCGCAGTGCTGCGCGCTCCCAGGAAGCGCACAAGCAGGGGGCAGGGAGGACGTTTATAAATGGCCACCCGCCCCTGCACTGCCACCATCTGGCCGTTTATATACACACGGGGACGGGGCACTTTAAACTTTTTTTTTTTACATTGTCCCTTTAAAAAAAAAAAAAAAAAAAAAAAATGTATTAACTTTTTTTCCTATCACAAGGAATGCAATCTTCTGATTGCTGGTGAAATGCTTTCCAGGCTCAAAAACAACAAGAAAAAAAAAAAAAAGGGGCATTTATATATTTATTAAGTGAACTTATCCTTTAATATGGAAAGACAGAAGATTGCTCAGCCACTCACTTGGCATTTTCTGAAGTTCCCAGAACACTTTTGCTGAGAGGAGTTCCCTGATAGCTTGTCGCATGCAGGTAATCAAAAGTCACATCTTGCAAGTTATTCTCAATTTCCAGCATCTCCTGCATCAAGACTTGTCTGGCCTTCTCCACCTGAGCATCCTCCAAACTGTTATTCTGAACCACATCAGCCAGGATCTCCACCGCTGAAAGCCAAAAATAAAAAAATTAAAAAAAAATTACATAAATATTACACACACTAAGGCCGGCCATACATTATACAATTTTCTTGAGATTTTTACTTTAGATTTACCAAAAACCATATAATAGGAGGTTAAACGTGAACAACACTTTCAGTTGTATCCAATCAGGCCGGCCCTTGCGCTACACAGTTGAAAGGAAATTGGGCAGAAAATTGTATAGTGTATGGCCAGCCTTAGCTCAATTACTTAAAGTGCGATTGATCTTTGTAAGCCTATTACAATGAATGGGTTTTTCTTTAGTTATGGAAGGGTTAAAACCGCTATACATTTATTGTTTGCTATTAGTGTCCTGCTGAGGAGACTTAATTTCCTGCTCTGCAGACACGACAGAAGTCAGAATATGGGTGGAACATGTAGCATGGAAACTACTAAGCAACTTATCCCCTCCCTGGTTAGATCTCGCCCTGACTATTGTAACTCCCTCCTCATTGGCCGACCTCATTGCAGGTTATCCCCTCTTCAGTCATGAATGCTGCTGCCAGACTCATCCCCCTTACTAACCGTTCTGTATCTGCCACCCCTCTCTGCCAATCCCTCCACTGGCCTCCACCCCTGTGCCAATTCCTCCACTGGCCTCCACCCCTCTCTGCCAATCCCTCCACTGGCCTCCACTCAGTGTCCTCCATCCCTCTCTCCACTGCCAATCCCTCCACTGGCCTCCATTCCGTGTCCTCCACCCCTCTCTGCCAATCCCTCCACTGGTCTCTACTCAGTGTCCTCCATCCCTCTCTGCCAATCCCTCCACTGGCCTCCACTCAGTGTCCTCCATCCCTCTCTGCCAATCCCTCCACTGGCCTCCACTCAGTGTCCTCCACCCCTCTCTGCCAATCCCTCCACTGGCCTCCATTCCGTGTCCTCCACCCCTCTCTGCCAATCCCTCCACTGGCCTCCACTCAGTGTCCTCCACCCCCCCTCTGCCAATCCCTCCACTGGCTTCCCATTGCCCAACGGATAAAATTCAAAACAATAACGTATAAAGCAATTTATAACTCCGCCCCAAATTACTTCACCAATCTGGTCTCCAAATATCACCCAAACCGTCCTCTCTGCTCCTCCCATGACCTCCCTCCTGTTCTCTAGCTCCCTTGTCTCCTCCTCCCATGCTCATCTCCAGGACTCTCCACCCCAATTTATCAGACTATCGCCTACTCTGCTCACTTTTAGGCGATTTCAGAAAACCTCTCTCTTCAGGGAAGCCTATCCTGCCCTCAGCTAATAACGGAATCTTCTATTCCTCCTACCAGTCCATCCCCCACAGTTACTACCTTTTGTACCACTAGCCCCTCCCTCTTAGATTGTAAGCTCCCAGGATCAGGGCCCTCCTATCCCTCTTGTATTGAACTGTATTGTTGCTGTATTGTCTCCCGTTATATTGTAAAGTGCTGAGCAAACTGTTGGCGCCACAAATCCTGTATAATAATAATATAATAATGTTCCAAAAAGGTGAACTTCAACCACATCCTAAGCCAGACAGGTGATGCATGTAATTCCTGATTATGTATAAAAGCTTAGACAGAATCAGCAGCATCACCTCTGATGTGGGAAAAAGCAATGATAATTCAGGCTTCTGTCCCTTGCAGAGAGCGCTGCTATTATATTTGACATGAAAAAGTCTTGTGGTTGCAACAATGTATCCATTTCAGATACAGATGTTTTTATTTGGATACATTGTTGCAACCGCAAGACTTTTCATATCAAATATAATAGGGGACAGGAATTCTTTTTCTTCTTGCAGGTCACGGCTCATGTGCAGATTTTTTATTGGTAAAACGATCGGCCGATTTGCCTATCATTGCAGGGAAAATCGGCCGATTTTTTTCCAACTTTACCGATAAAAAAAAAAAATGTGCCAAAACCCGAAAAACGGACGACCAATTAACCCACTAACGGAGCGAACATCGGCCAATTTTCGACCTGTCTATGGCCTGCATAACACGCAGTTCTCACCTTTAGGAAGATCTTTGGACTGGGCTTTAATGTAGATGGCAGTCTGCTCACGTGTGGTGTACGTGCTTAAATGGGCACCCATACTCTCCACCTCCTGCTCCAATGCAGCTTGGGGACGCTTCTTGGTACCCTGAGGGAGGAAGAAAAAAATGGTGAAAAAAAAAAAAGGATGCAATTTTCAACAGAGTAAACAGCTCATGTACTGCACTTTTACTCACAGAAAATTGAGAGAACTATAAAGTCTGCCAATGATAACCTTCAAAAAAATATCTAACTGGCTGACTCTGGCCTCGCCATCTAACTGGCTGACTCTGGCCTCGCCATCTAACTGGCTGACTCTGGCCTCGCCATCTAACTGGCTGACTCTGGCCTCGCCATCTAACTGGCTGACTCTGGCCTCGCCATCTTTTTGGCCAGTGAAGTCCAGGTGGAGGGGACACCCCCCAAGTACAGATTTGCTTCAGCCCCAGGCCATTTCTGGTACAGTTTAAATTTTAAAATCTGTACTTTTTGCTAGAACCCCCCAAAACATTTTTTTTTAAGAGCAGAAGCCCTAGAGAATAAATTGGTGGTTTTTGCATATATTTTTTTTTAATGTCACACAGTATTTGCACAGCGGTTTTTCAAACAATATCTTTGGGGAAAAAAAAAAATACAAAAAAAAAAACACTTTGACAAACTAATTTTACTATTCATAGGTGAGGTTTTAAAAGCCTTTGCAGACTACCACTTTAGATTTACAGTGGAGGTCTGGGGATAGGATTACTGCCCATGATCTGACGTTTGCGGTGATACCTCATGTGTGGGATGATTGTCGCTTGTGTGCATGTGGGACGAATGCGTGCATTTGCCTTGTCGCACAATCATGGGGGCACATTTAATTTTTTTTAATTATATTACGCTGTTGCTTTAATTTTTTATATTTTTTTACACTGTCGCTTTAATTTTATTTTTTTACACTGTCGCTTTAATTTTTATTATATTTTACACTGTCGCTTTAATTTTTTTATTATATTTTTATTATTTTATTTTTTTACACTGTCGCTTTAATATTTTTATTATATTTTTTACACTGTCGCTTTAATTTTATTATATTTTACACTGTCGCTTTAATTTTTTTTTATATTTTTTACATTGTCGCTTTAATTTTTTTCATTTTTATTATATTTTTAAACTGTCCCTTTATTTTTTATTATATGTTTACACTGTCGCTTTAATTTTAATATTTTTATTATATTTTTACACTGTTGCTTTAATTTTTTTATTTTTATTATATTTTTAAACTGTCGCTTTATTTTTATTATATTTTTACACTGTCGCTTTATTTTTATTTTTATTATATTTTTACACTGTAATTTTATTTTTATTATATTTTTACACGGTCGCTTTAATTTTTTTTTTTTTTTTTAAAACATCCCCAGTGACAGCAATAGATATGTAACAAGTACTCCTTTATGGAGGGATCTGGCGTCTATAAGACCCCAAATCCCTTCTCTGCACTTGAAAGCATTCCAGACACCAAGATGGGTGCTTAATGCTTTCAGATTTTTTATAACTGTGCCGAAAATTTCTGAGTAACCCAAAAGTGATGTCAGGTCACCACTTCAGGTTTACAATAAGGGAGAGAAGATCAAAGCGGATTCCGACTTTGTTCAGCTGGTGGGACGTGTCAGCTGGTTGCTCAGGACTCCAGGTGGGATGGGAGATCCCAAGAGAGAAGCAGAAGGGTGGAGAAACATCCCCTCCCATTGCAATCAATCAAAACAAAAAAACAAAAAAAAAAAAAAAAGACAAAAAAGACAAAAAGAAAAAAAAACCCCCCAAAAAAAACCAAAAAACACAAAAAACAAAACTAAGAAACAAAATAACCACCAAAAAAAAAAAAACCCCAAAAAAAAAAACAAAAAACCTACAAAAAACTAAAAACACAAAAAACAAAACAAAAAAAAAAAAGAAGGAGCATACCACACACAAGGTACCAGGGTGGTGCCTGCAGCTATCACTCTGGTATAACCACCAAAAGTCCAGTGATGTATGGGGACATCACTGGTCTGGAAGTGGTTAAAGGCCTATGCAGTCAAAGGGCCTCAGTCAAAGGACTGCAGTGTATAAAAAAAAAAAAAAAAAAAAAAAAAGAATAGGTTTACTTATATAAAAATTGTCATACCCTGTAGGCCATTTGCACCCCCATAAATGCCTAATCACAAGGCTCCCAGACAGCAGTTCCCGATCCTGTCAAGAACCTCCAGCTGTTGGGACAGGAGCGCTCCCATTCAGATCCTCATGCATGCACAGTAAGGCTGGCCATACATTATACAATTTTCTTTAGAAAATTGCTTTAGATTTACCAAAAACCAGATAATAGGAGGTCAAACCTAAACAACACTTTCAATTGTATCCAATCAGGCGGGTCCTTGCACTACATACCTGAAGGTAAATCTAAAGGAAATCGGGCAGAAATTGAACAGAAAATTGTATAGTGTATGGCCAGCCTAAGGCTGTGTCTTCACAGCAGAGATTCTCTAGTCTCACATCCACACCAGGATATTCACACTGCTGTAGCCCCCTTCTAGCTCTGGGATACAACAAAATGGCTACAAGCCTCCTTCGCGGAGGACAACTAGATAATCATTTTCTCTGTACCTGAAGGGGGTTTGGAGGCCATTTTGGTGGAAGTGTGGGACGGGAGATTCTTTGCTGCAACGTGGGAGAGCACACTGTACATGAATGGGAATTTGGACAAGGAGGAGCACTTGCGTTCAAAGGCTGGAGTGTTCTAGCAACAGCCATGGCGAGCTATCCATGGGATCTTTTCAGCCAGGCTTCTTGGAGAGGTGCAAATGGTCTAAAGGTATGATATTTACATTCGAAAATATTTGTAAAAGCGGCAGTTTTATATCATCTCCTGTGGCCTCACTGCTGCATAGTCTATTTTCTTCAAAAGGGGAACCCTTGTCTTTAACCCCTTCGCGCCGGCGCCTCCCGGCCCTTTAAGAGTTTCAGAAGCCGGGGCGGGGTTTAGGGTCATGTGACCACCGTGATTCGCCGTCACGGCAGTCACATAATCGGGAGAGGTCCTAATCGAAAGAGGAGATTGGGACCTTCCCATGAGTACCAGACGTGTGCTGGGAGTGCGCAGGGCGTGCGCGCGCTCAACACGTTCTTTTTTAATAGAACGCAATTGCGCGGCCGCTTGGCGTCTAGGCACAGACGCCGGGAGGCCGGACAATTGCGTTCGGCCGGCGTGAAGAGGTTAATAACATTGGACCTACAAATAATAAAACACGCAGCAAACAGAATATAAATTCCTAATTCTAACAGTTTTAAAGTCATGTTGTGTTCATACCGCGCAGATTATCTCACCTTAAATGCCAAATGTTCGAGAAAGTATGCAGCACCGTTATTTTTTGGATATTCATAGCGGCTGCCAGCATTGATCCATACACCAACCTAAAGACATTATGGAAGAAGCAGTATTAAGGAAATATTCTTTGTTGTATAACTTATATCATCTTAGGCAGATATTACAGTATTAGTAACCTAAAATATGAGTAAGGTTTCAGATAGGGAAAGACAAAAAAAGGAAAGGAGGAAGAGAGAGAAAAGAGAGGGAAGCGAGGAGAGAGAGAGGGAAGCGAGGAGAGAAGAGGGGAGAGAGAGAGGGAAGCGAGGAGAGAAGAGGGGAGAGAGAGAGAGAAGCGAGGAGAGAAGAGGGGAGAGAAGCGAGGAGAGAAGAGGGAGAGGGAGGGAGAGAGAAGCGAGGAGAGAAGAGGGGAGGGGGAGGGGGAGAGAGAGAAGCGAGGAGAGAAGAGGGGAGGGGGGGAGGGAGAGAGAGAGAGAGAGAGAGAGAGAGAGAAAGAAGAGAAGAAGAGAGAGAGAGAGAGAAAAAAAAAAAGAAAAAAAAAGAGAAAGAAAGAAAAATAAAGAAAAAAAAAGGAAAAGAAGAGGAAAATAAAGAAAAAGGAAAGGAAAAAGAAAAAGGAAAGGAAAAGAAAAAGAAAGGAAAAGAAAAAGAAAGGAAAAGAAAAAAAGGAAAGGAAAAAGAAAAGGAAAGGAAAAAGAAAAAGGAAAGGAAAAGAAAAAGGAAAGGAAAAGAAAGGAAAGGAAAAGAAAGGAAAGAAAGGAAAAGAAAAAAAAAGAAGAAAAAAAAGGAAAGGAAAAGAAAAAGGAAAGGAAAAGAAAAAGGAAAGGAAAGGAAAGGAAAAAGAAAGGAAAGGAAAAAAAGAAAAGGAAAAGAAAAAAAGAAAGGAAAAAAAAAAGAAAGGAAAGGAAAAAAGGAAAAGAAAAAGAAGAAAAAGAAAAAGAAAAAGAAAAGGAAAAGAAAAAGAAAGAAAAAGAAAAAGAAAGGAAAAGAAAAAGGAAAAGAAAAGAAAAAAAAAAGAAAAGAAAGAAAAAGAAAGGAAAAGAAAAAAGGAAAAGAAAAGAAAAAAAAACAAACCAAAAAACGAGAATGAAAAAAAAGGAAAAAAAAGGAAAAAAAAACCCAGGACTAGTGGGTTTCTAGAGTTTTTTTTAGCTGTAAAAATGCTCTAACGCTGAATAACGTAGCAAAACGCCGCAAACTGAAAATGCAGAAAAATGTGGGAAAATACTGTTAATCGTGGCTAAACGCTAATACAAAAACACTACAATAAAGCTAAAAAAAAAAAGCTTTTCTGGATGGGATTTTTTTTGGCTGGAAAAAAAAAAAAAAAAAAAAAAAAAAAAAAACAGGACTAGTGGGTTTCTAGAGGAGTTTTTTTAGCTGTAAAAACGCTCTGCAGCTGAAAAAAGCGGCAAAATGATGCTAATCGCGGCAAAACACCGCTAAACGCTAATGCAAAAACACTAAAAAAAGCTGAAAAACTCACGTTTTTAAATGTGACTTTACAAAGTTAACGTTACCAGCGTTCCGTGTGCATGAAGCCTTACAGACACTTTAAATGTAACAGTATGCATCAGGGTAGACACTAAAGCCTGTCAGACCACTAGAGACTAGTGAAGTGAACATAAAGAAGACACATTAACCACCTCCCGTCCGGCCCATGTATATAAACAGCCGGATGGTGGCAGTGCAGGGTCTGGTGGCCATTTATAAACGTCCTCCCCCCCGCTCCCTGTTTGTGTGCGCTCCTTGGGAGTGCACAGCACCGCGATCCGGTGCCCACTGTGTCCGTTGTACAGGACCTCTGTGTGAGGTCCCGATCAAGTGATCACTGATTGGCCAATCAGTGATCACATGAATAGTAAGCAAGATGTCACTTCTGATATCATTGCTTACGTGTGAAATCTCTGAATGATCACAGAGGTCACATGGTACAAGGCTATTCACAACAGCTTTGTACCATGTGACAAGCTGTGACCAATCACAGCTCTCACAGTAGTTCTCAATGTCTGCAAGAATGCAGCCAGAGAGAAGGAGAAATGATTACTTGTACAGCCTTTATGGGTGTAAAAGCAATCAGTGTAAAAAAAAATTTTCATCATCCCCCACAAGTAGTACAGTGTCATCATGGTGTCACTATTACAGTATGTAAAAATAAAAAACAAATGATAATATAAAAAAAAAAAAAAAAAAATTAAAAAAAAAATAAAACTAGAAAGATTATAATTTTGGTTATAAACTAATTTGGGTTTGTTTTACTAAAAAGATAACTGAATAAATTTTGGCCAAGATTTATGAGGAAAGATTACTTATTTGCAAAATTTTATAAGAAAAACAAGAAAATTGGCCTGGACAGGAAGGGGGGGGGAAGGGAAGGGGGGGGGGGGGGAGAAAGTGTCCGGACTGAAGGGGGGGGGGGGGAGAGAAAGTGTCCGGACCGGAAAGGGGGGGGGGGGGGGGGGAGAGAAAAAGTGTCCGGACCGGAAAGGGGGGGGGGGGGGGGGAAAAGTGTCCGGACCGGAAGGGGGGGGGGTGTCCGGACCGGAAGGGGGGGGAAAGTGTCCGGACCGGAAGGGGGGGGGGGGGGAAGTGTCCGGACCGGAAGGGGGGGGAAAGTGTCCGGACCGGAAGGGGGGGGAAAGTGTCCGGACCGGAAGGGGGGGGGGGAAAGTGTCCGGACCGGAAGGGGGGGGGGGAAGGAAGTGTCCGGACCGGAAGGGGGGGGGAAGTGTCCGGACCGGAAGGGGGGGGGGGGAAGTGTCCGGACCGGAAGGGGGGGGGGGGAAAGTGTCCGGACCGGAAGGGGGGGGGGGAAAGTGTCCGGACCGGAAGGGGGGGGAAAGTGTCCGGACCGGAAGGGGGGGGGAAGTGTCCGGACCGGAAGGGGGGGGGAAGTGTCCGGACCGGAAGGGGGGGGGGGGAAGTGTCCGGACTGGAAGGGGGGGGGAAGTGTCCGGACTGGAAGGGGGGGGGAAGTGTCCGGACTGGAAGGGGGGGGGGGAAAGTGTCCGGACTGGAAAGGGGGGGGGGGGAGTGTCCGGACTGGAAGGGGGGGGGAAAGTGTCCGGACTGGAAGGGGGGGGGAAAGTGTCCGGACTGGAAGGGGGGGGGGAAAGTGTCCGGACTGGAAGGGGGGGGGAAAGTGTCCGGACTGGAAGGGGGGGGAAAGTGTCCGGACTGGAAGGGGGGGGAAAGTGTCCGGACTGGAAGGGGGGGGAAAGTGTCCGGACTGGAAGGGGGGGGGAAAGTGTCCGGACCGGAAGGGGGGGGGAAAGTGTCCGGACTGGAAGGGGGGGGGAAGTGTCCGGACCGGAAGGGGGGGGGAAGTGTCCGGACTGGAAGGGGGGGGGGAAGTGTCCGGACTGGAAGGGGGGGGGGAAGTGTCCGGACTGGAAGGGGGGGGAAAGTGTCCGGACTGGAAGGGGGGGGGGGGGGGGGAAAGTGTCCGGACTGGAAGGGGGGGGGAAAAGTGTCCGGACTGGAAGGGGGGGGGAAAGTGTCCGGACTGGAAGGGGGGGGAAAAGTGTCCGGACTGGAAGGGGGGGGAAAGTGTCCGGACTGGAAGGGGGGGGGGGAAAGTGTCCGGGACTGGAAGGGGGGGGGGAAAGTGTCCGGACTGGAAGGGGGGGGGAAAGTGTCCGGACTGGAAGGGGGGGGGGGGGTCCGGACTGGAGGGGGGGGGAAGTGTCCGGACTGGAAGGGGGGGGGGGAAGTGTCCGGACTGGAAGGGGGGGGGGGGGGGGAAGTGTCCGGACTGGAAGGGGGGGGGGGGGGGAAAGTGTCCGGACTGGAAGGGGGGGGGAAAGTGTCCGGACTGGAAGGGGGGGGGGAAAGTGTCCGGACTGGAAGGGGGGGAAAGTGTCCGGACTGGAAGTGGTTAAATTGCACAGCACCTAGTTATCCCGATTGGAGCTCAGCCTTCTGTATAACTGACAGGTGCCCTTTGCTACTTACTGTGCAGGTTGGCTGGCCGGACTCTTCAGAGGCGACACGCAGTCCATTGTCCAGGGAGGTGATCTGAGTATCGGGAATGTTACTTAAAGCCTGTGCATAGGACACGACACTTCGGCTGCCCTTCACACCCAACACGGAGGGCTGTAGAAAACATACAAGGAACAAGTGAAAACAAATACAAACCAAAGCAAATATCTCCCAGGAACTATATTCGCTGTTCTCCACAAATGTAAAGACGTATGTAGGGTCTGGGGTACAACTCCAGGAAGAAAACATTATCCTCGTCTTGGATAAAGTGGGGAAGGGTTGGAACCGCGAGTTTATTCCTGTTGTGTCCTTGTTGGGGAGATTTCTATTCCCTGTCCTGGTAATCACATGGTGAGGAGAAATTTCCACACCAGCAAGATGGCGACAAAAAACTGACCCTGCCCAAGACAAGAAAAAGACAAGTGTTGGTAGGCTCAACTACCAACTCCATTTTGGGTGAAAGAAATGTGGACTGGCCTATGTGAACCCAAGACACCATCAGCCAAGAACATACCACCGGTCCTGAGTGCCCGGATAGCACAGGAACCTTCACAGGAGCCACATTCCAAGCAACAGACACTACTTCTGATCTTTGGGCACCCCAAGGGCTGAATATGTTCTGCTGGTCCCAGTCCAACTGTTCAGCCTTTGTGGTGCATAGCTGTGGGACTGGTGCCAACAGTACCTACTCAGCTTTTCAGGTGCACAGGGGCTGGCAGTAGCGCCTTGGTTGTTGCATCTGGGCCAGCAGTAGCTAGACAGCCTTTGGGGTACACAGGGGCCAGTGGTAGTGCCTCAGCTGTTGGATTGGGGTCACCAGTGACTGTTCAGTGGTAGGGACAGTGGAAGTTCCTCTGCTACCATTCCACAGACTGGGGTCACCAGTGACTGTTCAGTGGTCGGGACAGTGGAAGCTCCTCTGCTACCATTCCACAGACTGGGGCCACCAGTGACTGTTCAGTGGTCGGGACATTGGAAGTTCCTCTGCTACCATTCCACAGACTGGGGTCACCAGTGACTGTTCAGTGGTCGGGACAGTGGAAGCTCCTCTGCTACCATTCCACAGACTGGGGTCACCAGTGACTGTTCAGTGGTCGGGACAGTGGAAGCTCCTCTGCTACCATTCCACAGACTGGGGTCACCAGTGACTGTTCAGTGGTCGGGACAGTGGAAGTTCCTCTACTACCATTCCACAGCCTGGGGTCACCAGTGACTGTTCAGTGGTCGGGACGGATTGGAAGCTCCTCTGCTACCATTCCACAGACTGGGGTCACCAGTGACTGTTCAGTGGTCGGGACATTGGAAGTTCCTCTGCTACCATTCCACAGACTGGGGTCACCAGTGACTGTTCAGTGGTCGGGACAGTGGAAGCTCCTCTGCTACCATTCCACTGACTGGGTCACCAGTGACTGTTCAGTGGTCGGGACATTGGAAGCTCCTCTGCTACCATTCCACAGTCTGGGGTCACCCAGTGACTGCTCAGTGGTCGGGACATTGGAAGTTCCTCTGCTACCATTCCACAGACTGGGGTCACCAGTGACTGTTCAGTGGTCGGGACAGTGGAAGCTCCTCTGCTACCATTCCACAGACTGGGGTCACCAGTGACTGTTCAGATTTTGGGTTCGCAGGGGCCAGTGATAGCTCCATGGTTGCTGCAGTGAGGCCAACAGTAGCTAGTCAGCCTTTGGGGTACACAGGGGCCAGTGGTAGCTCCTCAGTTGTTGGATTGGGGCCACCAGTAACCATTCAGTGGTTGGCACAGTGGAAGCTCCTCTGCTACCGCTCCACAGACTGGGGTCACCAGCGGTTCGCATGAACGGAGTGCGATTCTGATGCGGTGCGGAATTTAGAGCAGTTTCAGTGCACCTCATCAGAATCGCACCCCGTTCATGCGAACCGATGCGGGTGTGTATGTTAACACCCCGAAAGCGGTCTGCAAAAATGCGGTGCGATGTGCAGAATGGGATCACATAGGTGTGGCTACCCATGCGATGGGATTCTAGTGCGGACCCAAGAAAAAGGGTCCTGCATGTTTTTGGAGCAGATGTGGTGCCGTTAAGAGCTGTACAAATTATACGGCTCCAATGGCACCGCACACAAATCGTGTGGGATTTGCACAGGAATGCGGTGCGGTTGCTGAACGAATCACATGCGATGTACCGCATCACATGTATGTGAACCCAGGCTGAAGGGTTCCTGGTGGAGGAGCTAAGGCCGGCCCCCGAGGAACCCCAAAGCTTCTTACAGGTGGTACCAATCCAACACATGAAGGGCTACCCCCACGCCAAAGGCTGATGAGGTCCTGTCCGCCCCCCGACAACAATCATGTAGATGCCCCCAGGCACCCCAAAACATGGATTATTGGTGGCCCCCAGTGTGGCCCCTGTGCTCCTCCACAACCAATGGGTGACCACAGCCCCCCCCCCCCCCCATCTGAGGAGACACCCCCCCCCCGACATCTGAGGAGGCCCCCCCCGACCTAATCCAACACCCAGGAAACTACAGATATGAGAGAAGAACTACAAGTCCCAGCCCACCATACTCACCACCAGGACACTCAGCATTCCTCCATGCGTTACATGTCTCCTCATCCGGGAACATTTCCTGTCATGCCATCACACACTGGGGCCCTCACCTCCACTCCGTAGGGGCCCCAGCCGCCCTCCAGTGTCCCCGCACCGGGTGACCTTCACACCTCCCCGGCCTCCCCTCCTCCTCCTCCGCACCTCACCGCCCGAACCCGCACTTCCCGCTATTTCCTTTCCTCCCCCACCCCCGTGTTTTCCCGTACCCGGCCTCTCCACTCACCGCCCGCCCGCTCAGCAGGGCTCTGGCCGCCGCTGCTCCCCCGGCTCTGCACACGGACGCCGCCATCTTCCAGGTGACAGTGAGACGGACAGACGCATGCGCGGACGGATGACGGGATGGCGCGCAGCTAAGAGAAGAGTGAACAGCGGCGCTTAGAGGCTGGAGGGGGGACTGCAGCTGACCTTGTGTGGAGGGGAAATAGCTCCTCCTGTGGATTGGGGTCCAGTGACACCAGAGGTCTCTGGGTGCATTCCAACTGCAGAGGGAAGGGGGTCTCCAGACTTTCTAAGCAAAGAGCCACTTTATTATCCTTCAGACTTTAGAGGGGCCGGTGGGAGCAGAAAATACCCAGGTGTTGGTGACAATGCCCCATCATTGGTGTCAGTGGGATGAGTAGTGCCCCGTCGTTGGTGTCAGTGGGATGAGTAGTGCCCCGTCGTTGGTGTCAGTGGGATGAGTAGTGTCCCGTCCTTGGTGTCAGTGGGATGAGTAGTGTCCCGTCGTTGGTGTCAGTGGGATGAGTAGTTTCCGTCGTTGGTGTCAGTGGGATGAGTAGTGTCCCGTCGTTGGTGTCAGTGGGATGAGTAGTGTCCCGTCGTTGGTGTCAGTGGGATGAGTTGTGTCCCGTCGTTGGTGTCAGTGGGATGAGTAGTTTCCCGTCGTTGGTGTCAGTGGGATGAGTAGTATCCCGTCGTTGGTGTCAGTGGGATGAGTAGTTTCCCGTCGTTGGTGTCAGTGGGATGAGTAGTATCCCGTCGTTGGTGTCAGTGGGATGAGTAGTTTCCGTCGTTGGTGTCAGTGGGATGAGTAGTGTCCCATCATTGGTGTCAGTGGGATGAGTAATGTCCCATCATTGGTGTCAGTGGGATAATTAGTGTCCCGTCATTGGTGTCAGTGGGATAATTAGTGTCCCGTCATTGGTGTCAGTGGGATGTAGTAGTGTCCCGTCATTGGTGTCAGACAGGGGGAGCCAGCATCCAAAGCAAAGCGTGGCGGCGGGCATCATGATTGACGTTGGATCTACTTTGGGGGACTTTTTTTAATTTTTGTTTTTAATAAAGGACTTGTCAAAGACTGTATACTGTCATTTTTTAACGACTTCAAGTCTGGACACTTTCACCCCCTCCCTGTCCAGGCCAATTTTCAGCTTTCAGCGCTATCACACATTCAATGACAATTGCGCGGGTCATGCAACACTGTACCCATATGAATTTATTTAGCATTTTTTGAGACAGATAAAGCTTTATTTTGGTGGTATTTATTCACCACTGGGATTTTTATTTTGCTATGTAAATGAAAAAGTCCAAAAATTTTGAAAAAAAAAGTGTTTTTCTTATAAAATTTTGCAAATAAAAAATATTTCATCATAAATCTTGGCCAAAATTTATTCCATTATCTTTTTAGTAAAAAAAAAATAACTCAAGTAAGTTTATAACCAAAAATTATAACATTTATATAAATTTTTTTTTTTTACACTGATTGCTTTTACACCCATAAAGGATGTAAAAGCAATCATTTCTCCTTCTCTCTGGCTGCATTCTTGCAGCAATTGAGAAATACTGTGTGAGCTGTGATTGGTCACAGCTTGTCACATGGTACAAGGTTGTTGTGAATAGCCCTGTACCATGTGATCTCTGTGATCATTCACAGATTTCACACATAGTAAGCAATGATGTCAGAAGTAACATCTTGCTTACTACTCTGCATGTGATCACTGATTGGCCAATCAGTGAACACATGATCGGGACCTCGTACAGTGGTCCCGTCCAATGATCGGTGTTCCACTGTGTCCGGAGCTGCGCGCTCCCAGGGATATAAACGGCCACCCGCCCCTGCACTGCCACCGTCCGGTCGTTTATATACAATGGCCGGACAGGATGTGGTTAAAACTACACTTTTTTGTTTTTTGTGAATGAGTACCATGTACTCCATACTCATTCATATGAGGGGGTGGCAGGATCTGGGGGGCCCCTTGTTAAAGGGGGCTTCCAAATTCCGATAAGCCCCACACCCGCAGACCCCCACAACTACCGGCCACGAATATGGTGAAGAGGTCCTTGTCCCCATCAACATGGGGACAATGTACTTTGGAGGGGGGAGGTGTCCTCCTGCCCCGAAGCACCCCCTCCATGTTGAGGGCAAGTAGCCTGGTATGGTTCAGGAGAGAGGAGGGGGCACTCACTTGTCCCCCCTTTTCCTGTCCTGCCAGGCTGCGTGCTCGAATAAGGGTCTGGTATAGATTTTGGGAGGACCCCCATGCCATTTTTAAAAAAATGTTGGTGTGGCGGTTCCTCTCAAAATCTATACCAGAACCAAAGGGCTCGGTACGGATGGGGGGGGGCCCGATCGTTTTTTTTTTTTTTTCTTTTTTAACCATTTGCCGCACGGCCAATGGCCGTTTGGCAGCCGCAAAAATGCACTAGATTTCCGGGGTGGACGCCATTTGGCGTCCTCCCGCACATGCGCAGTTTTCGTGCTTGCAGAGCCGCGCAGCGGCGTGATCTGTCACCGGCTGTGTACCTAGGACACGGCCGATGACAGATCTGAGTACTGGCCCCCGTTGCCGGTACCATGTGACCTGCTGTGACCAATCACAGCAGGTCACATGACAGTTGTATACAATGGATGGCTTCATTCATGTCATCCATTGTATACTAGTGTCTAGCTGTGAATGGTCACAGCTAATCACATGCACATGTCATGTGATTAGCTGTGGCCAAATCACAGCTAAGCACAAAAAAAAAAAAAAAAACCCTGAATGAATCGATGTCATTCAGGTAAATGCTTGCTTATAGCAAAGTAATTCTTTGCTATAAGCAAACTGTGTAAAAAAAAAAAAATACTGATCACTTCCCCAAAGTAGTACAATGGTACTATGGTAACATTGTACTACTTTGGTCATAGTGAAATATGAAAAAAAATCTTAAAAAAAAAAATGTAATAAAAAATTAAATTAATAAAAAAAAAAACACATATTTTTTTTTTCATACTGTCACCAGTCAGTGTCCCTGATCACCGCCATGCCAGTTATATGATGACGCTGTACTGCACTGGTGACAGTATGTAAAAAAAAAATTGTGAAAATAATTTTTTTCATTTTCTGAAAAATTCTGACAAAAAAATACAACTTCAAAAAACTCGCCATTCCTCTTATGAAGTACGTCGGACTGTCTACTTTACAAAAAGGGGTCATTTGGGGGATATCTGTACTGTCCCGACATTTGGGGGATATCTGTACTGTCCTGACATTTGGGGGATATCTGTACCGTCCTGACATTTGGGGTATATCTGTACTGTTCTGACATTTGGGGATATCTGTACCGTCGTGACATTTGGGGGATATCTGTACTGTTCTGACATTTGGGGATATCTGTACTGTCGTGACATTTGGGGGATATCTGTACCGTTCTGACATTTGGGGGATATCTGTACTGTTCTGACATTTGGGGTATATCTGTACCGTTCTGACATTTGGGGGATATCTGTACTATTCTGACATTTGGGGGATATCTGTACTGTCCTGACATTTGGGGATATCTGTCCTGTCCTGACATTTGGGGGATATCTGTACCGTTCTGACATTTGGGGATATCTGTCCTGTCCTGACATTTGGGGGATATCTGTACTGTCCTGACATTTGGGGATATCTGTCCTGTCCTGACATTTGGGGGATATCTGTACCGTTCTGACATTTGGGGGATATCTGTACTATTCTGACATTTGGGGGATATCTGTACTGTCCTGACATTTGGGGGATGCCTGTACTGTTCTGACATTTGGGGGATATCTGTACTGTTCTGACATTTGGGGGATATCTGTACTGTTCTGACATTCTTGGACCTCAAGAAATTAGATTGGCTGTCAGTACTTCAGGATTGATCAATATTCAGATCTATACCATAGTTTGTGAACTCTATAACTTTCCTACAAACTAAATAATACATCCTAATTTGGGTTATTTTCACCAAAGACATGTAGCAGAATACATCTCGGCCTAAATTTATGAAGAACAATTATTTATTTGTAAAATTTTATAACAGAAACAAAGAAAAACGTGTTTTTTCTTCAAAATTTTTGGTCTTTTTTTGTTAATTTAGCAAAAAATAAAAACCCCCGGCGGTGATTAAATACCACCAAAAGAAAGCTCTAGTAGTGTGAAGAAAATGATAAAATTTTAGTTTGGGTACAGTGTTGTATGACCGCGCAATTGTCATTCAAATTGTGAGAGCGCTGAAACCTGAAAACTGGCCTGGGCAGGAAGGGGTAAAAGTGCCCGGTATTGAATTGGTTGATTGCTGGGCAATGCTGGCAATTCTTTTTATATTCAGCTGTCAGTGGGGGAACTCTGCTGACAGCTGAAACATTAAAGAATGTTTTTAGTAGTTGTGTGGTGTCTTACAACATATTCAGATGCGGTAAGATACAGCCAAGTGAATTTTCCCCTTGTGATCAAACTTTCGTAAGGTTTGAATGTTCAAAGCGAACCGAATGGGGGGGGGGGGGGGTGTCCCATCACTAATCATGACAAACAGCATCTGTCTCTCTGAGGTCCAGGCTTGCATTGGTAACACAGGTGAACAGCTGGAGGGATCCCAGGCTTGAGGACACAAGGAGGCCATCCCACTGGAACTAGAGAACTCTGATGGCAATTGTGGAGGGGCTTCCCACAGTATTTCATCCTTTTGGAGAAGCTGCATGCTTTTAGGTTCTGGCCCAGCTGCCCGCCCTCTGGTTCTGTAGTAAAACTGTAAACGGAATAGTCACACCACTCCTAAAAGGTCCAGATATGACTTTAATCCAGTAACAGTCAGGGGTCGATCCAAAGAGTGCCAACGCGTTTCAAGAGTCCAAAAACACTCTCTTAACCGCTTCTGCGCCGCCCTATAGCAGAAATGTTGCTACAGCACAGGTGTATTTACCACAAGGCAAACAAGGCATTTGCCTTGGGCAGCATTTTTCAGGGGGGGCAGCACTGCCTCCTGGAAGAAGAGACAGAAGAAGGGACGCACGTGGCATGGGGACCTGGTGGGATCCAAGAGAGGCTGTGGGCTCCTTGACAGTGTATG